CTCTCTCTCTCTCTCTCTCTCTGTGTGTGTGTGTGTGTCTGTCCGTCTTATTGATAGACCGCCGCACCAGGGGCAACATTCAAACATCTAGCCAAAAGCCTATATCCATCTACTCTGCTATCTTCTCCACGATAGATGTATAACTATATGCTGTATAACGAAACTCCCTGTAAAATAATAAATAAAATAACGGGCCGCGCGCCCACTTTGCTCAAAACCCACCTCGCCACCAGCACATTTGATATCTGCCATAACCCCCAACACACCCAGCTAAAAACCACGTCTAGACCACCCAGGCGAGAGTCTACCTTCTCTTCTCCCTGGAAATCACGGTATGAATCCAATATCAACCTGCGTGGCCCTGGGTTTTGCTTCTTCCAAATGGACGCCGGCCAACCAACCAGCGAGAAAGCCGACAGGGACAAGCAAGCAACGCTACAAGCACCGCACCGCAAGCTATAAATAAACGTCTTCATGCAGGAAAAGAAACTAAGGAAGAAGCGGGATAACCTGCTAGTCCAGCAGCTAAATAAATAAAATAATTATAACGCAAGAATAAGAGTAATAAGCTGCATCATATTTTGTCTGGCCAGCGAATTTTTTTTTTTCCTTGGTTGTCCGTCCCCTCGACTTTCTCTTCCTCGTCTTTCTTCCTCGCCTTTCGCATTCTTGCATCTTCTTCCCCCGAAGCCCCTTTCAACGGCCAAACCATCACACGATGCGCCATGGTAAGTCGAGTCCTTGTTTATCTTTCACAGCTGCTTTGCGCTCGCCTTGTGCAGATGTAACTATAGGATAACCGAGCTCGCCGTCTTTGTTGCGATCCCCGGCTGTGGGGTAGAAGTTGTTGTGCTGGGACATCTACAGCAAGACAGCGACAGCGACGGCGAAGCAGAGTATCCCGTTTATATACCTACTATTGCTACTGGAACAGATACCTAACGGCCGTGTCTGCCTCTAGGGGTGCTGCTTCTCTCGAGACGCCGACAGCTCGCCTTACCCAGGCTCTACAGCCGGCCAGCATGGTGACTCGTCTCACCAGATCAACGTCAACACCGCCGGCCACCGCCATGACCAGACGGAGCGGCCTTCGCTAAACGGCGGCCTCTCGCACGCTGCCTCAGATGCCTCCTCTGCGACGCCCCGGCCGCATCGCTCGGCTGCCCGTCGCGGCGTGCCGCTGAACGAGCACTTCAACCAGCCCATCCGCCCGCACGTCTGGAAGAGCAAACGCCGCACCTGGACCCGCGCAACCATCGACAGGGAGCGGGAAGTCTTCTTCGATACCAGAGTCGCCGGCCGGCCAGAGATATGGGCTGCTCTGTCCACCGCCCTTTCCCTACTGCGGGAAGGAGACGTCCAGACCGCCCAGGGCATCATCGACGCAGCTGGCATCACCATTCCAACAGGCGACGTCTGCGAGGGATGCTACGACGAGAGCGGGGCGCTGTACAAGTTTCCAGAAGTTATTGTGTCTGATCCCGTAAACCTGGCGGATGACGACGATGCTGCCGAGGAAGCCTTCAAGTGTGATACTGGCGCTGACCTGGACGGTGATGCAGACGGTGATACAGCTGGCGACGAGACGTCTACCGCAAAGTTGGTATTGGGCACCGGTTCGTCTGACGACCTGTTGGACAAGGAAAAGGAACGCAGGCGGGAAGAGAAGGGAAAGCGAAACGAACGAGACCTGCTCAAGGTCACTGCTCGACTAAGCGATCGCGGCGGCCCAGATGTGGTCGTGAGCATCGGCAAAGAGCAAACCGTTGCAGCTCTTGTTCGGAGAATCCAGGCTGAAGCTAGAGTACGTTGCCGGTTTGATATTTCTTTGACGACGACGACGATGATGATGATGATAGAAAAACTGAGTATCACTGCTAACTGCTCTTCCCAGCTGCCTTCCAATACCCGCATCCAGATCGTATATCTGGGCAAGTTCTTCAGAGACAGCCAGACACTGCTCGAACAGGGATGGAAAGAAGGCAACGTCGTAAACGCGTACGTTAGGGTTTCGAAATGAGCGTAGGACCTTGCATGTCCAACTGTAAAAGGTCTCACAATCCCCAGACCCGTTCTCAACATCTCGACGTCCTCGGACTTGCGGCCTCGCGCCCTGTCCTACTCTACGGAGCCTTCAACGTGATCGATCAAATGTCACCAAGGTTGCTCTCAACCAACCATGACCCAACCTTTTCGCCTATAAACATCTAATCACATATTATCAACTTTCCGGCGTTCATCGGCGTCTCTCTACCGGCGTACTAGGAGACTTTCTACAACATGTTCGTTTTCGATCTTTTGGCAAGCATCGGCGTCCTAGGAGTCGCCTTTACTTGAGTACACATATACTTTGCAATTCATCATTATTCTCTTTTGAGATCTATGGCAGGGCCGTTTCTTTTGTCTATTTACCTATTTGTATATACCTCCTTTACTGCCAATATTTAATCAACCTACCGATACAAACCAATATCAATCTTGGTCTTTCTATCTTTCTATATTTTCCTCTTTCTCGAACGGAAATTTTGTTTATTGATAGTCGGATGCAAACAAGACAAACACAGCTAGAAAGTAAAAGTAAAAAAAAAAAGTCGCAGAATAAAAAAATATTCACAAATTATTCAATTCCACGAACTTTTTCGCAAACCACAAAATACACCAGGCAAGGGTCTTCAGGAGGTCCTCAGGAGCTTATAATATTCGGATAATTGGCCTAGGAGAAAGATATCCGATTTACAGGCCAAATTGAGATCGCAATCGAGCCCGGCAAGCCCCTCCGCCATCATGGATCTACAGCAGTCCCCCTTCATACGGGAGCTGGCATCAAGTGGTAGGTATTTGTATTTGCTCATGCTATGTGCTCCCTTACCTGGCTGTTGCTGACACTCCGTGTTGAAGAAAGGAAAACTCGCGATAAAGCAGTTGAGTCTCTAACTGCCTTTCTACGAAGCAAACGAGACCTGAAGCTATTCGACCTCTTGAAAATATGGAAAGGACTATTTTATTGTGCGTACAGGGATCCATTTTCATAATTAACACGCCATTCTCCATCATGTTAACAAGAGGCGGGAAAACTACAGGCTTCTACCACTCCGATAAACCTCTTGTCCAGCAAGCCCTCGCCCGCTCCCTCTCATATACCCTAGTCCCCTCCCTACCAGAGCAGATGGTATTACCCTTTCTAAGAGCATTCTGGATAACAATGTCACGCGACTTCCATTCGCTGGACAGATTACGTCTAGACAAATACCTGTTCTTAATAAGATGCTATGTGGGCGTTTCATTCGAATACTACTTGAAGCGCGGAGGGAAAAGCAAACGCCAGCCCGGGAACAATAGCACCGAAAACCAGAAAGCCAAGAATAAGAGAAAGAGAGAAAGAGATGAGGCAGATAGTGAAGTAAATGGCGGTTCGACCTCGCGGCGCAAAACGTCGAGTACGTCTGCCGTACCAGTACGCGAGGGAGACGAATGGGCTGAGCTAGAGGCGTATCTCGACATGCTGGAAGATGGCCCACTAAGTCCGCTGATTTTTGACCCAAATCCATCCAAGCAGCTGTCCAACCAGGAAGATGAGAACGGCGCATTGATTAAAGTGCCCAAGGGCCCGGATGGGATACGCTATCATCTCATGGATATTTGGCTGGACGAGCTGGAGAAATGCGCTACCGAGCCCGACGAGTCTAGTGCTGGAGACGATGGGGAATCTCGGGCTACGAAGCTAAAGGAGTGTGTTCCGATGGAGCTATTACTTCGACCGATTGAGAGGTTGCAGTCTGAGAGCCCGAATAAGACGGTTCGAAGCCGGGCTAAGGAGACGTTGACTGATGAAAGGCTGATCTCGTGGGGCGTAAGGGAGCCGGAGAAGCCTGACGAGGGCTCGGACGAGGAAGAAGAATGGGGCGGTATAGAGGATTAATCGTGAATCTATTACTATAATAAAATGAAGGCCTCTTTTGATTACTGTTGGGCACGATAAAAACCGGCTCGATTCTCGTATTCCCTGATTACTAATACGAGGAACGAAAAGGGATAAATACAGGTCAGCTGATAGTTTTCGAAATATTATACCAATTAGTAATCACTAATACTATCACTCTTAAATTTATAAAAATCTTTTATAATAGTTTTATCAAATCATTTTAAGCTAGTTATACATTATAATTTATAAAAAACTATATATCTCGAATCGAGCGCTATATAATCACGTGACCGAAATAAAGTAATGTATAAAAGTTTATATAGCTATGTATCAAACTTTAAATATCCGGTCAATATCACGTGACCTATATTTGACGGTATGAGTGGCAAGTGAATGACTAACAAAACCTCGATAAAGTGCAACAGACACTCGTATCGCCTTATCTGACCCGAAGGATCAGTCTTTAAGACTACCTTTACGCTGCACTCTCAAGCTGCTCCTGGCCCCTGGTGTGCCTTCTCAGGGGCTTCCAGCGGTCGCGACAGCCACGCCGCGTGCGCAGCGGAGCCAACCGTCACGTGTTACTTGAAGTTCGCAGACATATAAAAGGACGCTCGCCGCCCCTTCCGCTGAGTACTCACTATGGAGTGTCTGGGTATCGATCAAACTGCTCTATCCATCAGACTCGACCCAACAACTCTCTGCGGCCGCGCTCTATGAACTCGGCGCCACTCAAACTAAGCAGCCCTGTCCGGTAGTACGGAGTACCGCTTCACAATCCTCCGCTGGGCCCCAAACCCCGGGGAGTCGAGGAGTCAGGACTGACAAACAATATTGCAATCGGCTGAAATCGATATAGATACCCTATAGCTTCTTCTTGCGTTATACCTCAATGTGAGTGTGAAGCAGCGGGTGAGAGCGCGCCCCGAGTTCGTGTAGTTGACTACGAGTCCCCGGACGACGGGGTTCTGCTACCGAAACCGATGGTTGATTGTAACGTGTAAGAATCACCAACGGGATATACCTACGTGAAGTTTGAACTGTTTGAGGTGACGAGGTTTGGAGTGTAGGAAGTACTTCCCATAACACGATCTCTTGTGACGTGGTGATGGATGGGACCACGGTAGCTACAACCGTCAACGGTCCGCCGTTGGAGGCGTCTGCCCTATAATGGTAATAATATTGATCATTGATTCGCACGCCTCGAAAGCTCATTTGGAAATGTTTGTATTCGTTATATTATACATCTCTTGAATCAATCTGGAGATCTACTTAGTAGTGTCGCAGCCTATCATTGACGGTCCACCGTCATCAGAGGAAGGCTCCGGCTTCGCTAGGTGGAGAACGGGCGGAAGCGCGTAGCCCGAATAAGTGAGGATCCTGTTGTAACCTCTTCTAAAGCCACGTAATTCGTAATTCTCATGTGGTTATCCGTATCCAATTCAAGAATATCGGTGATTAACCCTCTAATCAATATAGTACTATACCAATGGTATCATTGATTCGTGCTGGTATCGCAGTACCTTGAGCTACCAAACCAACTGTTGAACCCTGGTTGAAACTGAACCCGATTTCAATCGAATCAACTGATATATTATCTTGATAGCTCGCCTGACTACTACAAACATGAGAGTTGAGATAATTTGCCGATACAGTGGTACTCCGTACTGTCTGTTCATTGATACCGTAGGGGGAAATCTGTCCATTCCTGTGATACAATCCTATTTTTCTCACCGCTTCTCGGAGGCGAGAGGATGGAAAACTCAGGGGAATTAGGGCCGAAGTCAACTTGTAGGCTCGTAGGGTGACTAGTTATAGGCTTATAGCTGTCCGCTCCAGCCGTCGCAAGTGGGGTCGACGGATCGTAGAGAGCCTAGGACGCCGAAAACCATATAAAAGTGCGAAGTAGGGCGGAGGCAAATCTAGAATTTAGTTAATAGCTATAATTTTGCCCCAAATCCCCTTAATATAAGAATATACTATATAATGAATTAAAGTCTCGATGGCTAGGGGTTATATCGAGCAATTATATTCGTTAAAAACCCCGTTCCGAAAATCAAACGCCGAAGCTTTTTTTTTTTCTTTAATAATAAGCCGATGAGAATTATAAGGCCGAAAAATCGATATATATCAACTATTTACAGAATTTCGCCACAATAATCGATTTAATAGTATAAATTATCGATTTTATCGCTATTATTATATATAAAATTAATAAATAGGGATTATAGTACTATTTTTATCGCTTACTAATAAGGTTTAATAAAGGTCGTGTGTATTTATTCTTTCACTTCGCTTAAAGAAATCTCTGCTTCTTCTTCACCGGTTCACCCCGATAAAATTGCCCAGATTCTGAGAACACGATTATTCCTCTAATAATACACTTTCACATTAGAGTAAAAAGGTACAGAAAAGCGCCCCTTTCTAGCTTTCTTACTAAATATTACTATATCTAAGAAGTGGTTTATTCTCCTAGAGTTTTGACTTTTAAGCGCGTCTGTTTGCTCTCAGGGTGTACAGGCTGTTTAGAATCGCCCGGATACGCTGGTCAAGGGCGTCCTAAAGAGAGCAGAGGCCAGCACACAAAAGGTACGAAGCAAGCTGACTGAACAGACCCGTATTTTTACCCGTTTGCGAGGCTGACTGAACCGTGGTACTCTATTACTCCAGATGGTTACCGTCCTAGACTCGGACTCAGACGAGGAGACTCTTATTGTATGCCAACCCAGATCCCAGGACAGGCCGTGACCCGTCAACTTGATACCGTGATCTACTCCGAGCATTTTTGGGTGTTCTTCTTTATTTATTTTTTTTAACCGCTCTTTAGACGCGGTTACTATTCGTTTTTATTTTTATTTTTTATTTTTTTTTTATAGACCCGCCGTCCGCGAGTTGTTGTTTTGCTCCCGCTCAAAAGTTCAAACCGCGCTAACCGCTTTGGGACAACCCTGATCTATAGCAACCCGAAGTGATATCAAGCCGGCTGCTCAAGGCATTCATCAGCCCTGAAGATGACAGACAGAGGCAGTTGCCGTCTAAACCGCCGAGCAAGCCAGGACGTGCTGTTGTTGACAAGGGCTCGACATCCTCCAGTTCCC